AACTGGAGGAAAAAAACAAATCAATAGTCACAATCAGAAAAGACTCACTAACGGCACTAGAATTCAACACTAGAGATGTGCGTAAAGTCAGAGAATTAACAAACGAACAAAAAAGGTCAAAGAAAGGGCAAGGAAAGAAGGAAGCCCCCATGTGGCTGTTTCGACCTAACAAGGACATCTCAGAGCTAGAAGTGGACCCTAACGAATGAGGATGGTACGAGAGGAGGGGACAAGGTAGAGCCCAAAAATGGACCACATTGTACGAATACACAGTTAAAAAAGGATACAGCAAGATGGGAAAAGAACCTGCAGATGGACCCTGTCTCCTTCCAGACAATCCCATGGTCCTTTTACGCCTCCATAAAACCTCAAGGAATAAGGAGCCTCCAATGGTTAATCATCTATCTAGCAGTCCCCGTCAATGCATGGCTGGACTCAAGGAGAAGAGAGGAGGACAGATCGGAAACTTCAGCACACTGCCAGATGTGTCGGGATCAAGAAAGAGAGACGCTAACCCACTGCTTCCTACATTGTCAACATCCAAGATCTCTCTGGGACAAATGCAAAGCAGCTTGGTCCAAACTTTTGCCCCCAGGGATCAACTGTTCTTCTTGACAGCAATCGACCACGAAGGCTTAGTCCCCGAGGAAGATGGAGAAATCATAGAGCTGCTGAGAAGAACAACCTTGTGGGTAATCTGGAGAGCTAGATGCGGGACCACAATTGGCAAAAAGAAGATATCGACTAATGAATCGTGGAAAGAGGCGAAAATATTGGTGGAAACAGGAATCAGAGCGGAATGGAAGCAAACCCTGAGTAGGATGGAGAAGGAAGGGGAAGCACACAAGAAGACCAAGCTACAAAAAGAATTTGAGAAGAAAAGGGAGGTTTACTGGCACGGCTAACGGGAAAAACCCTCCACTTCACAGACTGGTGGACTCCAGCCAGCCCAATGACAGAAGAGGACGGAGAAACTCCGATGGACCTGGAGTGTTGAAAAACGAACAGCTGGCCTCATTCATCCCTCTCAGGGAAACACGGCAGGAAGAGGGTTTAGGTCCTAAGGACCACAAGAGAGCATTAGACAAGCGCTTAGACCGCTCTATATCCCATCATGAAGCCACTGTAAATATTAAGACGGAATAAGGACAGCCTAGAGCAAGGACTCAGAATGACCATGAGAGAAAAATTACAAAATCATGGAAATATTAAGAAGAAGATGATAAGAGCTTTACTATCATGGGGCTATCACCTTCCTCCTTGCAACCCCTTGGTACATGACACCATCAAGAGTCTCAATCCTTCTACTCTTACGCCACTCAGAATGACCAAGCAGCAGGGAGAGAATAAGGATCAGGAATTCATCCCATGGGCAACTGATCAATTAGACCAGAAGGACCAAGCACAATACCCATCGACACTAGTTCTGGCATCACCACAATTAGTTAAACTAGGTTTGGTAAAACAAGAATGACACTTATAGAGAAACATGAAGTAGGTTAGGTTAAGAATCGGCAGTCCATTTGGATTAACCTCCGGAGAGGAATCAGGGTCTAGGACTAAGGAACAGCTCAGTTTCTTATCTCTTGGACTTGTGACAGGTAAACCATGACAGCATTATAACCGAGGATTTAGGGTTTAGGATTGTTAAAGAAATTAGGTAATTACTAATTAGGGTGTTTAGACTTGAGTCTTTTCAACAGATTCATAAGCGCCCCAGAACACTCTGATAGAATACACCTACCCGCTAGCTACAAACTAGGGAGGAGCAAAACTGGGTTAGTTGGATTGGCAAACGGAGTTAGTGTAGGCTAACTTAGGCAGGGGTGAGGGGTGATACATGCGTCCTCGAGGAAGTAATCAATGTCGCCCACTCGGGCCTCCCAGCCATAATGGGGGGGAGCGTGCGTGAGTCTCTTTTGTATCTCTTATTGACTTGGCGGGGGGAAAGGAACCGGACTGTTGCTTCCCAGAATAGTAGGAGCCAGAACCAAGAGGTTTCTGAATTAAAAAAAA